GGCTCACTACCTTGGCTTATCACCGAATCACAGCCCTGACCCACCGCGGACCAATCAAATCACTCTCTGGGGTGGGACTCACACAGAAGTGTTTCTTTGTTATTGTTGTTTTTATCACATGTTAAAACTTTATTTACAATAGTTGCAGAAGCGCAGAAGTATTTTTTAAAGCTCCCCCAGGAGATTCTACTGCACTATGCTTGAGAGTCACTGGTCTATTCCTAAACAGCAATGTCAGCACCACCTGGAACTTGCTAGAATGCACATTCATTCTTCCTTCCCTCCTTCCCTCTCGCTCTCTCCCTCTCTTTCCCCACCCCCTCTCTAAAATCAAGAAATAAATTAAAAAAAAGTTAGTTCTCATGGATGGAATTGGAGAACATTATGCCCAGTGAAATAAACCAGTCAATGAAAGAAAAACACCACATGATCTCACTCATTTATGGATAATAAGGAACATTATGAACTGATGAACAAAGTGTGGCCCTGGACCATCAGTGTCGGCACCACCTGGGCACGTGTTAGAAATGCAGGTTCCTGGGCCCCACCCTGGCACGCTGGGGCAGAAGCTGCAGGTGGGCCAGAGGTGGGTGTGTTTCCTAGTCCTCCAGCTGGTCTGAAAACCGTGGCGGCAGGCCATCTTACACGGTTAAAGTGGAAGGCCCTTACTCTTATTCAAACACCTAGTTTTTGGTGCAAAGAAACGCTGGCCTCATCCTGGGCTTGGCCAGTGTCATTCTGACGGAAAGGGTTGCCCTGTCCTCTGGGAGATGGGTTGCCCTGTCCTCTGGGAGATGCTGAGGACGGTCTTTGGGTGCGATCATGAAGCATTCGTGTGGCTAGCAACAGAGATGAGCACACTGCCGAGTGCTAGTATGGTGGGCATTTAAAAAAAAATAATAAAAATCTACGCTTACTGGATAGACAATCTAACAGCAACAGGAAACAAAGGTCGCACTAATGTGGCAAGGCACGTTCTTCTTCCTAAGTTTCCGTCCTCCCCTCCTCTCTTTCCATACTATTGTTTTGGTAAGAAACATTTACCACAAATGTATGAAAAAAGAGGTCACAGTTCCATGACGTCCAAATACAAGAGAACTGTGTGAAAACTCGAGGACCACAGACAAGAACCATTTACAAAACAGGGACAGGTTCCTGCAAAACCAAAGGCACGGTTTTGTGGTTTTTAGGAAACACACATTGTCCACGGAGCAGGTTCTGCAGCCTTTGTTAGACACTCCAAAGAGGCCAGGACCTAAGGGAAGTCCAGAGCCTCTGAATTTCCACATATTTCACTGGAAACAGATCAGGAAAAAAAGGCCCAACAATGTCATAGTCAACGATCTGAGAGAAAAGGCACTACCTTGCCCGGAACCTCTTTTTCTCTGGACGTAAAAGCTGCTCCTTGTAACTGGGGCTCATCCCCGGGGGGCAGAAATCTGGGAAACACAAAGCGACAGCCTGAAAACCATGTGTTCGTTTCAACACGGCCCTGGACTCCCGCCAGGCCTCTGGGAAAGTGTCTTCAGTGCTTGGGGCCTCCAATGCCTTGTTGCTGGATGAGGACAGCCGTGATGACAGTCCCAGGCCTGACCGGCAATCTCTGGCTCTGCTTACCTCCAGCCCAGGTCCCAGGGGAACTATGAGGCTCCCGAGGGCCCTCGTTGGCAAGTACAGTAAGACCGTATGGAACAGTGTGTATGAGCCAGCAGGACAGGGCTTGCTCACAGGTCCCACTGCCTCTGGAAGGTCCCCCTGGCACAGCGAGACCAGAGAATTCCCTCCGGAGAGTTGCCGAAACAGTAGAGCTCCAACTTCTCCTCCAGCCCAGCTCGCAGGACGGCTGCTTTTTTCTGGCCCTTTTCTAGCTAAGTTATCTCCTCCCCCTCAATGGAATAGTACTACATTTTCAACAATGAAGGGTTAAGAAAGAAAGTGAAAAATCAGCTATCATCCCGCTACTATCAACAATTCTTCCCTGTTCTATTATTATTATTATTATTATTATTATTATTATTATTATTGATTTCAAGAGAGGAAGGGAGAGGAAGAGGGACCTAGAAATATCAATAATGGGAGAGAATCATTGATTGGCTGCCTCCTGAACGACCCCCTGCTGGGGATTGAGCTTGTGCCCTTGACCGGAATTAAGCCCAGGACTCTTCAGTTCACAGGCTGTCACTCTGTCCACTGGGCTGAACCAGCCAGAGCTCTTACCTGTCCTTATGCACATATCTGTATACATATCATTTTTTTCTAAATATGTTATTTTATAACTTCTCACATTATTATAGCCATCTTTCGAAGATAATATCAATATATCTTTTTAATGTCTGCAGAGTGTTCCCTTTCACATTTGTGCTATATTTGGGCCTTACTTTATTATTGAAATATTTAGATTATTTCCAATTTTTTCATGTCACAAGCACTTTGAGGGACATACTTCTACACAGAGCTTTGTGCACTTGTCCAATAATTTGCCATGGACCAACTCCAAGATGAAGAGCTGTGAAACACCGACAGAGCCGGTGCAGTCTGATGGGTGATATCAGGACCCCTGCAGAAGGCACCGATTGCAATTCACCTATGGCCAATGGACCTGGAATCCATGCCGAGGTTCACTGCCTTTAATACAGTCAACACACCTCAGAACAACGCATGGAAATCTCTCTGTAGACAATCAATATGCTTTCATTAATTGTGAATTCAACATAGCCATTTTAGGTGTTCAACATGGGATTCTACGTCTACTCTTCATCCTTGGCTCAGAGTAATTTATATTTTATAAAATTCGACTCCAGTGTATAATCTACACATTTCCTCTGAGGGTAAATTTATAGAAAATTTTTAATTTTCTCATCCACTTGGAGTGCACACAGTTGGACCCACTGTACCTTTTGAAGCAAGCACTTCCTTATCCACTCAAAAGAGCTATTACACATATACCCACCCCCCAAACTAGCAGATGCTTAGAGTAAGTTTTAATAACCCATTTCCAGCTATTGCTGCCACTGTGAGGCAGGATTCCTCAAATTAGTTTCCTATTTATTAATATTACAGAAGAAGTTAATATAGCTAACTACAGATTATATTAAAAAAAATTTTGAAGCTATGAAACTGGAGGAAACTGAAAAATTTCTCACACTTTCTAAGTTCTTATAGCTGGGCGAGTAACTAAATTAACACAACACAGATTTACAGGAGAAAATGTCCGAAATGTACTGGGGCTGTACATGCCAGGGCCATAGAAGGTGAGCCCCCAGGAGACACTGGGAAGTTGAGGATTATAGGTCATTTTGAACAGAGGGAAGGGGGACCGGGGCCTGGGATTTTATCGGGAAGGCAGGTAATTCGCAGAAGGATGAAAAAGCAAACACGTGGTAAATGAATTCTTGCTGGGCCACCCAGAAACAACGGGGACGCAGAGGGAAGTCTAACAAACAGGCTTTGCTAGATTTTCCCCATCTGCCACCTTCAGTTTATAATATGATGCTAAGATGATGCTCCCTTCCGCTAACCAGGTTTTTCCATCTGAATTCCTCTAGGCAGGTAAATGGTGAGAGTCAAAGATCCTAAGTATTTTGTTTCTTCATAACCAGCAAAAATCAATATCCCAAAAGGCATATTATGGGGTGGAAAAACTTTGGTCCTCTTCCTCAAAAACAAAAAAAACAAAAAAAGTAGATTATATTTAAAGAAAGAGAACCAGGTAAATAGGGAAAAATGCCAAATGTATATATACAGGGAGTAGGTTTACCAGTTGTGAGTACACGACACACAGAGTTAATAAAGCTACTCCAATAATCATACCTGGGGTGCCTTTTCCCATACAAACAACTATAAGCCTACTTTTGCCCACCCCTGTCTACTACACACACTTATTTTGGAGGTGCCCTTACGGAAATAAAACCACATTCTTAAAGACAAAAATATATGGTATGGTAGTGTGGTACAGTCATGGAAAACTCTCGGTTGCTATGCTCTAATCATCCAAACGGTTCTGAAAACCGCCCACATTCCAATCCCTCTTTGGTGGGTGAGGGCATTTCCTGAAATAACAGAAGTGAAGGAGCCGGGAGGGAGGGAGGCACGGCGCAGCTTTTTCTCCTGTGATGGAAGCAGGCGGGAATAACACTTTCTCGTCTGGACTTCTTCTATTGTAGTTTCCTATTTATTTCCTCACTCTCCCCCTTCCTCCAAGCCCTTCACCGAGAGAAAAGGAGCAGTTTCTGGAAGTCCACGTCCATGAAGTATGTATTTCTGCATTCCTCTCATGAGCAGGAACATTGAGACAGTTCCTCTTGCTCTGCCCTCCCGCTGAAACAGAGCTCCTGGCAGCAGCGAGGGTCTCGTGGGTGTCACTCTGACTTGCCTGTGGCACAACAGCGCCATCCAGAGTCTGAGCCGGCTGAGGCGCACGCTCTCCCAGCGGCTCTCCCCTCCAGAGGTGGCCCAGGGCCCTGCAGCTCCGGCTCCCCTGCAGCTGGCCAGAAACGTAGAACCTCAGGCCCTCAGCCCAGACCTGCCATCTCGGAACCCGCATTCCCACGAGAGTCCCGTTTCAAGTGTGAGAAGCACTGTTTCCACAGAGATCTTCACCCCGCTCTGGCGCCTCTGGAGATTAGCCCCAAGAGGACCCGAGGCACTGGCTTTTCTTTACTCTCTGGCCGCCCACTTGCACTTGACAGATGGGAGTCATTTCTTCAGCGCTCAGGAGCTCAGAGGCCAACCCCCAACGCCAACAGAGCTGTCCACAGAGAAAGGCCCTTCGTGACACATTTGCTCTTGACCAGGCACAGCCTGCATGGAAACGTTATTCAGACTGCCCTGCTGGGAAAATGCTAAGACTGCACATACTTAACCAGTACAATATCCCCTTGGTCTCACTCATCCCCTTGGTCTCACTACCGGAGCTGCATGGGCGGGGAAGGGGCCAGAGACATGTTGTGCGTCCCCCCTGGTTGGCTGCCATGGGCGAAAGATGGCCAAAAGCAGGATCGATGCCGTACGAATGCATCCGCTCACACGGAATGGAAACCCTGATGAGCCTGCAAGGAGGAATGTTAGCCTTCAAGCTCCAGCAAGCCCTGCCGGAGTGCACACTGCTGAAGTGGCAACGCTACTGCTCTGAGCGAAGAGTGAGCAAACACATGTTTTAGTCTCACCAGCTCAGCACAGGTTTTAGTCTTATCAGCCGCCCAGGAAACCCGCCGGGAAGTGTACTGAACACCAGACACCATGCACTTAAGTCTGAAAGCTGCATTCCAGCGTATTATTGGACCAAATCCACACCCCGCAGCAGTCAGTGCAGTGCCTGGTGTCAGTTATCACAGATCTTTACAACTCCACTAATTCACTAGCTCATTTCATTTTTGCAATGCCGTGAGCCAGGGTGACTATATGTAACTTATGGTCCAAACTGGGACACTTTTGAGAGTGCTAAAATGCTAACTAGATGGGATGCTGGGACAGCAGGCACAAACCAGGACTCTCCCAGGCAAACTGGGTCACATATAATCTCCCTACCTTTAGGGAACTAACAGAACAAAAAGGTGAGGGAGAGGAAGAACAATAAGTACAAACACTGGGATACTGTTCTAAAGACAGTCTAGAACAGACTAGCAAACAGGCACCATGAGATAATACATTCTTATTAATGAGATGCAGTAAAAATGGGTGTGAAGAAAGGCTGGCAATAATGTGTGATGGCAAGTGTGTGTGTTATTCCCAATGCCATCAACACCTAGTATAAGCGCCAATGAAATGAGTTCTATTATAGAATGAGAGGCTCCTAATAATATAATCTCAAACATCCACCTGGGAGCCCAGAGTCTCATAACTGGGTTATCTAAGAATAAATTTCTCCTAGCTTCCATTTTAAACCGAACAGTCACGTCCACAGCTCGACAATGTCACGTGCCTTATCTTAGCTAAGTGTCAAAACAGCTTCGTGAGATACCTTCCCCCGGTAACAGATAAAGGGACTGAGGTTCAGAGAAGGGCGCCCCACGTGGCACGTGGCTCTGAGTCAGCACTTACTGGATTGGGCTTTCCTTCCCAGCATGCCTCTCTTCCCCAGCGGGCTTTCCAAGTGCGTTTTCTGAGTATCCGGCTCACAGAGTCTAGGATAGCCAATGCTCAAAATGCTTTTTTAATTAACTAATTAAAAATTATTTTTCGCATGACTAGATTAATTCTGTAAAAAAAAGGAATTGGTACCTTTCTATTCCTGTGTATAAATGCTCACTGGATGACCCAGTCTAGGCAAATCATATACACAGATTATTTTTTAATGTAGGGAGAGCCTACTGTTAGAGAAAGGTAAGGGAAACCAGGAACATTCCACTACCATGCAGTTAATACAGCTGGAAGGAGAAGGAGCATCTAGAAGTGGAAGTCTGATAGGCAGATGAGCTGTGTGAGGAGAGTATGAAATCAGAGGGCTGAAATGCACTAGATCTACTGAGACTCTGGAGATTTAGGCCCGATATCCTTGGACTTCAACAACGGTTCTGTGTAAAACACGGTCCTCAAACTACCCACAGAAAGTCCTGGATCTGGGCTGGTATTTCATGCCCCTGCCACAGACATGTGGGCCAGCAGGAAAACAGACATTGCTCAGAGCCTTCTTCAGTATTTGCTCCTCTGAGTCAACAAGGAAAAAATAGCTCGAACAGTTCACGAGATCATGGCAAAATCTCTGCACCTGACATTCTCCCTTGGGTGCTTCTCCTCATTTGACACCACAGTGGTTGTTGAAGCTTCAAGACCACTGCCTTAAAGAAAACTGATTAAAAAAAAAAAAAAAGTTTAGGGATTAAATACACATTTAACGGGAAGAGAGTTATTGACACTAAAACACCACACTTGTTTTCTGTAGTTTTCATTAGAAGATCTGACCAGTGCCGAGGATAAACAGAACGAGTTTAAGGTGCATGGGAAGGCAGAGAAAAATCCAAAGAGGTGCAAAGCGACAGTCTTATTACACTGAAGTTTCTGTAATTGCTTGTCTCCTATTTCATCAATAAAAGTAAAATACAGCACACTTGTTTATAATGCCAAGAAATATTACAAAACATCATTATCCACCGAGTACTTGCCTTGCCACTCTGTTTGGATCACTAATGAGAACAGAAAATAATCAAATAAATAGATAAAAGTATTAAGAAAATCATATTCATGAACTTAGCTTATACAGAAACCCTAAGCCCATGGCCAATTCACTCACTCTTCTTTCACATATGGTCAGATTATAAAACCGTGAGATTGTTTTAGAAAGTCTAGGAACTCAAAGAAAAAGTCCTATCGCAAGGGATCACATTAAAAAATGATGCTTACAAAGCAGAAAAGTTGGGGCAAACAGCCCTATAAAATGTTCCTAGGGACACTTATTATTATAGCATAATGCAATAATTATAACTAATAATGATAGACCTGACTTACTAAAAAGGAAGCTTAAATAATGTTCAATATGTATTTTTAAAAGTCTATAAGTGTATAACCAATTTCACAACGTTTTCAAACAAGTGGTTGAAGTGAGAGAAGAACAGAGAAGACAAAATTAGAGGAACAAATTTCCCTGGGCCACTGGGAAAGCTCAACTGTCCAGAATAGCTTCTTCTCTCAGGGAGAGGCAGCACCTATATTTTTACTATAATTTATTTTTAAATATTAAAAAAAAAATGCTTCTTCATGGTGTCTGGTAATATCCATGTTTTCCAAAGATCTGCATGATTGCCAAAATAGGTATCCTATACACACTTAGGAAAACATAAACAAAGGGGCAAGGGATGATGTGACTGGGTGTCTTCCCTGCCCTGTGCTGGTAGCGCCTGGGTAGACCTCCGGCTCTAAGACCTCTTGTTATTCCTGCGCAGGTTTGGTCTAATGCTCAGCACAGACGAAGCATTCAAATGCTTATTGATATAAATATTTAATTGTGTGGCCGAGCCATATCAGTAAGGCCAAAAATGTAAGCTGTGGTCAAATCATGAAATACTTTCTTAACCCTTTACCTTTTTCTCGTTGCACAGATCAATGTACACAGGTGCATTGTTAAATGTGAGGGATTTCATTTCTTAAAAATGGGATTTCTCTTATTTCACTGATTATTAACTTCAGCCTAATTCTTAAAACTCCTAAAAACATCACAGTACAACGTGGCCTCTTTTTTTTTTTACCCAGGTTGATAGTAATTGATGCTTCTTTTCAAAACAGTAGCAAGTCCAATAAAATCATGGGTACTTAGCATCTTGGTTGAAACCATGCTGACCACACTGGTTTTTAAATCTGTGCTTTGTTTAACTGTTCCCCAGAGGACAATATAGTTCAATCTCCAGACATAGCAAGTCGGGATCTATTCTACTTTTGCTCCCTCTATTTCAGAGGCTGAAAAAAAAAAGACTGGCTCACTCACAGACACCTCACGAGGAAGAGCCAATGCAACCGTGATGAAGAGCGATACAGGCTGCACTGGAATATATGTTTTCCCACACGCACAACAGAGCCACGCCAAGCCTCGTTCATCTATGGTAAAGTCCTTTGCTCTTAAACCAAATTCTCGTGGGAGAAACCCCCTAGAATTTGGTCAATTTTGAGTGAACAATAAATTAAACAAAAAATATATATTGCAAGGAGGATTTTATTCTGCAAAAGAAATGTTTAAAGAATTAATGAAAATTGAAAGTTGTTTATAAATAGTAAAAAGCAGATCTGAAGACAACTACAGTGAAAAAGAAGATATTTTCAAGGCAGTGGCTTTGAAAAGCTTATGAAAGCGACGGACCCTTTCATTAGAAAATTCAAATATGTACAGACACACAAACACACATACAAATCTATATGCTTTCAAAGAAAGAAGATGGAAGATTCCGCCTCCCACCCTCAACAAACCTATGGTTCAAAACTCTTGTTTTAAAGTATAAGATCTTTCCCAAATTGTGATCTAATCAGATGCTTAAAAACGACCCTGCCTTCACTGTTCTTGTGTCTCCAGATAGGTTTTTCTCTTCTTTTGTTTATAAGAAAGTTCATAATATTAAATATGGAGTTAAACAGGTGGAAAAAATATAAACTTACATGCAACAAAAAGACGTTCTAGAACCCCATGGATACTTACACCCTCGCCATCATATCGACGCTGGCTTACAGAGAGAATAGGCTGCCAAGGAGAGGCACAAAAATAAAACTCTCAAAATACCAAAAGGAATCAGCACTAGCTTTCTTCCATCTATAGTAGAAGCTCATCAGATGGAAGAGAGAAAAGATGATCAGTACCTATTTACTTGTAAAGGACATAGAGAAATTAATTTCTCTTTAGAAATTCAAATAAATTTAAAGTCAGAACACACACACACACACACACACTTCTGTCTAGCTTGAATTTTTCTCCCTCTTGAAGATGGTGAATTCATGGGAATGCAAACCATCTCTCAGTTCTGGAGAGTGGGTAGGTCCATGAAGTTGAAATTTGGGGTAGGAAATTTACAAAAGCAAGCTTAAACACTATTAATTAAATTTTCCTAATTAAACACCTAAACTTCACCTTCTTCTTTCCAGTTTTTTAGTTTTATCCAAATGTAAGTTGATTCATAGAAGCTGATGTAAAAATGATATAAATTTTTTAAGGTGAGAGAGAAAAAGGGCATGGGTCTGTGCATGTTACCCTCAAAGAGAAAAGTTATTCTCTCCCTCCCTTTGTAAAGCAAATTTGAGGTGGCTTGAGGATGCCTCTGTTCCAAGTTCTTTAAATGCTGCCGTAAGCCTTAAAATTCTTTGGAATCTCAATGCTTAAAATGCCGTGAACGCCAAAAGCCCATGTCCTGGACAGGATGCGAGGAGAACTAATAAAAAGGGAGGATTACTGAGATGGATGTTCTGGGTATCTTAATGACCACAGCCAACATGTGGAGAAGTGGATTCTAACACAGGAAACAATTAGGTAAAAGACTTTTTCATTTGTTTATCTGATAAAGACAATACACACATACATGCCCAGACGACCCTGAACCACACTGCAGCACACACCTAATTGCATTAATTACACTTCCAGGGGAACCTGGTTTCTTACAGCTGAATTGCTCACCCTTGCAGGACTTTCCCCCAAACGGGTCTACATGTTTCAGGCTGGGAGGTATCATTGGGAGTAGACAGAAAATCGGTTTGAACTAGCAACACAGCTCTGGGCAAGTTGTATTAACAACATGACATCAAAACTGCACACTCCCTTTTCGAAGTTCATTGCAGCACAGACAGACATTTTAAAACACTGATGTGTGTCCCAGAGAGGAATTTCATTCAAATGAACTTCACTTTATATTTCACAAAGCACAGGATTGGGGATGGGAGCGTTTTGGTCCCTAACTCAGGTGTGGAGTTATTGTAAAACTAGAGGCCTAGTGCATGAAATTCGTGCATGGGTAGGGTCCTTAGGCCTGGCCAGCTTTCAGGACCGATTGGGCCCTTCCTTCATTACACACACACACACACACACACACACACACACACCATGGTCAGTGCACATTACAGCGAGCAATTGAACTCCTCAACTCTTGGTCTCCCAGTAGCTCTCCTGAGGGGACAATTTGCATATTAGGATTTTATTTTTTTTTTTATTTATTTTTTTTTTTCTTTTCTTTTTTTTTTTTTTTAATAAGTTTTTATTGTTCATATTATTACAAATGTTCCTTTCCCCCCCCCACCATTGCTCTCCTCCACCAGGTTCCCACCCCGCCCTCTGCCCTTTCCCCTCTCCCCATTGTCCTCATCCATAGGTGCACAGTTTATGTTCAGTCTCTTCCCACGCCCCCCTCTCCCCTTTACCCCAAGAATCGTCAGTTCACTCCCCTTCCATACCTCTGATTCTATTATATTCAACAGTTAATATTGTTCATCAGATTTTTTTAATTTCCTTGGTTTTTAGATTCACTTGTTGATAGTTATGTATTTGTTGTTCATAATTTTTATCTTTGTTTACTTTCTCTTCTGAAAGAACCCCCTTCAGCAATTCATATAATTCTGGTTTGGTGGTGATGAACTCCTTTAGCTTTTTTTTATTAGTGAAGCTCTTTATCTGGCCTTCGATTCTGAGTGATAGCTTTGCTGGGTAGATTATTTTTGGCTGTAGGTTCTTGCTATTCATCACCTTGAATATTTCTTGCCATTCCCTTCTGGCCTGCATGGTTTCTGTTGAGAAGTCAGCTGACAATCGTATAGGTGCTCCTTTGTAGGTTACTACCTTCTTTGCTCTTGCTTCTTTTAATATTCTCTCTTTGTCTTTTGCTCTTGGAATTTTAATAATGATGTGTCTCGGTGTGGTCCTCTTTGGATTCCTTTTGTTTGGAGTTCTGTGCGCTTCCTGGACTTGTAAGTCTAATTCTTTCACCAGGTAGGGGAAGTTTTCTGTCACTATTTCTTTCAGTATCTTTTCGATATCTTGCTCTCTCTCATCTTCTGGGACCCCCATAATTCTGATGTTGGTTCGCTTGAAGTTGTCCCAGAGGTTTCTTACATTATCTTCGATTTTCTGGATTCTCTTGCCTTCTAGCTTCTGTGGAGGAGTGTCTTCTGGTTCTTTATGTTCCAAATCTTTGACTTGATTCTTGCGATCTTCCCTTCTGTTTTTAGGACTCAGTAAAATATTTTTTATTTCAGACAATGTATTCTTTATTTCTTGTTGATCCCTTATCATTTCTTGTTGACTCCTTATTAATTCTAGTTGATCTCTTTTCATATCCTCATAGGCCTTATCCATCTTTTCTAGGAAATTCTTGAAAAACCTTATAAGCGTAGATTTGAACTCTATATCCAGACACTTTTTGTCCTCCATTTCTTTCTTTTGTGATCTATTTTGTTGTCGCATTTCGCAGTTACAGATGGGACGGGGTTTCAGGGTGGAGCCTGCAGCTTTGGCTTGTCAGCCCCGCCCTATGCGGGTCCTTCAGTGCTCGCTGCTGCCGGCGCCT